GCTTCTCCACTTCCAGTCACAAGAAAGTTCTAACTGCAGGTCCTCCCTCAGTCTCCTCCAGGCTGAACAAACCAAGTGATTTCAGCTGCTCTTTGTATGTCTTCCCCTTGAGACCTTGCATCCTCCTTGTGGCCCTGTGCACTCTCTAATAGCTTTATATCTTTCTTCTATTGTGGTACCCAAAACTGCACACAGTATTCAAGATGAGGCCACCCCAGTGCAGAGCAGAGCAGGACAATCCCCTCCATTGCCCAGCTGGCAGCGCTGTGCCTCATGCACCCCAGGACACGGTTCACCCTCCTGATTGCCAGGGCACTGCTGATTTGTATTCAATTCACCACTGACCAGGACCCCCAGTCCTTTTCCACAGGGCTGCTGTCCAGCCTCTCATTCCTCAGTCTGTCCATACCTCCAGGGCTGCCCTGTCCCAGCTGCAGATTCTAGCATTTGCCCTTGTAAATTGTTGTACAGCTGGTGATTGCTGAACATGTTCATTTGCTAAGGGTCTGCAAGGCCCCTCTGCTATGGAAGGAGTCAACAGCTTCTCCTAATTTCATGTTGTCAGCAAATGTAGTATACCTTTTGAGTCCTGCATCCAAATTATGGAAACACTGAAGAGCACTGACCTAAAATGGAGACCTGCAGAACCCCGCTAGTGACTGATTGGCAGCTTGGTGTAACCCCATTTACTGTGATGTAAATGAATGTGCCATATTTATTAGTCAGATGAGGACTTCTTTGGCTTAGTCAGCCCATACGTAATGCAGTTGTTAAATTTTACTTGTTTTTCTTCATAGCTGACATGACCAGGTTTGTAATTCTTAACAGTCAGGTTCAAAGAAAAGTCGGGATAGAAAACATTTTTAGAAACTAGGAATTATATCTATTTTCTAAGTTAGATATTAGATAATATTAGATATTTACATGTAAAATATATATGTAGATTTTATTAGTGTATTTTTCTTGTATTTCCCACTATTTTCTTCTGGCTGTTTATATTGGAGTTTCACATCTAAGTATAAGATCTTTGCTTCACCTTTCCATTTATCTTAAGGTCTGCCTCAGCTACAAAAGTATAAACCTTACATTTAACCACCTTAAGGTGCTTAACTCATAGTACTGAATTGTAGAAGTGAAACTAGGGTCTTTCTGCATTTATATCTATGGTGTTCAAATGGGGTTAGTGATTATAGTAGATTGTATTTCCTCTTTCTGCAGACCTGCAGACTTTCTTATTATGTTCAGAATTAAAACCAAGATCTGTTGAAGGCCAAGAAGTTGTTTCCCAGTAAGAGAAAGATTGAACAGAATTCATTTGCCTTATTGGTATATTTGTCATGTTGGCAAACCTTAGTTTAAGGAACAGAAACTTACTTAGTTTAAGTAAGCAACAGAAACCCATCATATATTCACTAATTTTCTCATGATGTTCAGTGTGAAATCAAGACTGTTTTAGGGGTCAAGGTGCTTTTTCATGGGTGTGCAATGTGACTTTGAGTTTCTTCTATTCCTCGTCCATTGCAAGAACTTGAATAAGCATTGTGTATCTACATGAGTGTGCTAGTGTCTCTTTTTGAGGGGGAGAATGTCTCGCAATCTCATAGTGAATAAATCTCACTTGAAAGTAATTGGAGCTACTAGACAAAAAGAGAATAGTAGCAGAACTTGAAGTGTACAAAGCTCATCTGAATAAAAGCTGGATAGCCTCTGCACCTCATTCAGTTATTTATAGAAAATTGAAAGATCCTGCATTTTGCAGAAATTAAAATATCTGTATTGGTATTAAAATATGCTGAGAAAGGGATCCAGCAGCTCTTGCTTTATCAAAATTGGTACATGATCAGTTAGTACACCAGCAATTAAGGCCTGAATTGGGAGAGCCCTTCTACAGAACAAGACATGATCTGATCTTTGCGAGTAAGATGCAAAATCCACTCTTTTATATGAATAGACGTAAAGGACAACAACTGTTAATTGTGGAAGGTAATGATTGCACGTTGTATAATCTTAGAAGATAGTTCTTCACTTGAAAATGTGTGTAATTTTTAATTTCTTATTGTGTTTCTAGAAATAGGTCATCCAAAATAAAATTGTAATTGCAAAATTTAAATTTTCAGCCATGTAAAAAACCAAACCAAATCAGTTCAGCTAATATATTTAGTGATGACAACAGAGGAACCCTTTGGCCTTAAGCATGTAACTTAAAAAATAAGGATCTTAAATGTAGTGTTATACTCTGTCATATATATGACATCTGGCGGCTTATTGAAATTTAGGAATGCATGACTAAGGTTCTTTGAAAAAGAGAAATGAACTTTTAAGTGGACAAATGTCAATATTAAATAATGGCAAACTACTTATTTGCCCAGTACAATTAAGTATAAATTATCTTTCATCAATTCTAATAAATTGACAGTGCATTGTTTAAATAAATTTTAAACACAATAGAAGAGTTACCAAAATTAAGATTTCTTAGTTTGGAGTACTTGCAGTTAACATATTATTGAGAAGTTCCCACTGAATACTGCATATTGATAAATGAAGGATTAATTGTGAAAACTCTCATAAATTTCATTTTCTTACAAATCAAGAAGTTGGTAAAATGTACACTTACCGTTGATCATTAGAATACAAAACTATCTGTTAAAATCAATTAACATGCATATCTGATGACTGATTGTATAAATATGAAAGTCAAATAATTGTAATCGTTAACCATGGCTTCAGGTCATATGAGTTGTCAGCTCAAAAAAAGTAGAGGAGAAAGAAGTTGATTTGCATATATTTAATGTGGCATGCTGTACATGTGGGAATTTGAGATAAACCTTTGCTGATAATCTGCTTGTCTTTATCTAAAAATCGACTAGGAAATGTGGGTCATAACAGTCAAATGAGCTATGTCTTATACTGATAGGAGTTAATTCAGTAGTTTGGGATTTAACATTTTGCTATGTTTCAATATTTTAGAATTGATTTTTACCTTAGAGACAATTAGAAGAAACTGGTTAAAAAGTTATTCAGAAATACTCGAAGTTTTTACCAAGAACATACTCAAAATTATCCTATAATGTTGTAGGACTGAGTTACTTTTACAGTTTTTAGTTAGACTTATCAATATGTAAAAACCCACTTTTTTACTTTTTATGATTTAAAAAATCAGATGCATTTAAAATTTTTATGAAGTACTGTACAGCTTAGACAGAAGTAGTTGTGTGAGGAGGTGAGTTCTGTAACCACAGATTAGAAGCCCAAATTAAACATGAAAGTAATTAAAAAATGAGTAAATTTTAAAAGGAAAAAATCTGGGTTTAAGACGTCAGTAACTGTAACTACAGTTTTAGCTCTACTGTAACTCATTGGTGAAAAATCAGTGCTACCAGAGGCTCCAAAACTGCAGATGAATGCTCTATGACTAAATGGTTCTTCCGATAGAAGGTCTGATTCCAGAACTTCCGGAGCTGTTGTACATCCCAGTAATCCTCAACATATTTTAAAAGTGAAAGTATAGGCTGCTTTTACAATGTCCCATTGCTTTTAAAAAATAAGCATTTGGGATATATATGATTTTTTGGGGGGCTGGATGGGATTCAGAGATGTGATGTAGGACTGAATTGTCATTTTCGAGGAGAAATCTGTGCACTAAATGAGAATACGTTAATAAAAAAAACAGTCTCATTTGTCCCACTTCAGAAACACATAGTGTGAGAAGAAAGTGCTTCAGGTTTCTTAAAATATAGAAGTTTTTGTACTGTTGTGTCTTGAGGCTTTCAGTGTTATTAGCTCAAAGGGGAGGTATGCTTTTTCATGATGACTATATTTAGCCAGGAGGAATAGTCCTTTTTAAAGCAAATTGAAATGAGTGTATGAGAGCGTGAAATTATCAGCAGCGCTGGTGCACATTTACATTACTTCTACATACTCTTTTGAATGACCACACAACAGAACAAGTACTTCATTTCCACTGTGTTGATTTTTCTTGACAAAACATGGCAGTCTATCCAAAGGAGGGTGTTTAGCCAAGATAAATATAAAATTTATGATTAAGCAAAGTGTTTTCTTATTATAATCCCTAAAGAGAATTTGAGACTTGTTAAATATAACGTGTCCAGGTAGTTTTAAGAGTAAATTATCCTTTATGCTTTTAAATGCTGAAATGCAGCAGCACCATCAGTGATTTGAGATACTGCTTCCAGAAACAGCACTGCACACTGACTTCCTTTGAAACAAGGAGCAAAAACCCATGCATGTATATAATATATTACTTCAGGTTTGATGTATTCCTTTGTTTTTGTAGTCCATACAGAGATAAAGAATCCATGTCAGTAGCATGGTTTGTAAAACTGTCTTGCTTTTTCCTGTATGTAATGTGTGTTACGGAACAAAGCAAATAAACCTTTTTGACAGAATGGATAAAAGTTGGTAACATGATTACAGTTGTGGCATATTTCTTCAACTGCTATATTTACAGAGTACCACTTTGAAGAAAGCTGTGGTGACTGTCAATATTCAGTCTCCAAATAAATGGAGACTGAAAATTGATTGAGGAGAAGAGTGGATTTTGACCTTTGTGGTACCAATGTTGGCTTTGGAGTGCAGCATTCTAATTAAATTGTGAATGTACTTAGATAGTGGATATTAAATGATCTCACTCTATTCTTTCAAGGACTATGAACTTCCAAAATCAAGGATAACATTAGATGTCAGCCAAGTATTTTGTCCTTCTCGTGGTTTGTCTTTACATCTGAATTAGTGCCAGTTTGCACAGATTGTGTGTCAGCTTAAATACAAGAAACAGGCCTCAGTCTGCTTGAACTCGTTCCACCAAAGACTTCTAAAAACTTTCGGTAGTCTGCAAACTGTAATGGTTGTTTCACATTAAGTTGCTTTGTAGAATTATAAAACAGCTTTTCTTGTGCTTTCAAATAAAATGTTGTCATCTGCTAATGAATGAGATACCATCTGTAATAATTAAGGTTATTCTACTTGTTTTTCCCCTGCAGCAAAACTTCTGAAGGTTTACAGAAGACAATAAGAGAACCACCAAGAAGGCTATTGCAGTGTTGTAAGTACTGCACCTAGGAAAAAAAAAGAAACATGTGAATTAAGAATGTTGTAAAGAGATTTTCATTTTTTGGGGGGAAAAATGAGCTACATAAAGGGATTACATGTAAAATACAGAGCAGGATGTATTGTAGCAATCATGTTAATAATTTACAAGGGAAAAACTGCACTCTTGTAAAATCTAAAATTGTATCCTTGTGCAGTGTAATCAGGAATTCACCAATAGCAGTGAAAAATATTTCTCTATCCACCAAAGATTGATCTAGTTTATATACATTTGTTTATTTAAAACTATCAGAATTTAGAAAATCATTGTAGTTTTGTAGGTTTGTCATTTGTTTTAGTGACTTATTGTTTAGGTTATTTTGCAGAATTATTTATTTGCTGATTTATTTATGTATTTCATTATTTATTTATTTGATTATTTAGTAAATTATTTATCTGATGAATTATTAATACATCTTCATGACATGCTTTAAATTATTTATAACTTAATTTTGAGTTTATTGCTTTTCGACGCTGCATTGTTACTGACTAGTTTTGATTTTTTTTTCTTAGTTCTTGAAAATTAAAGTACTAGCTCTAAGGCAAAAGTATATTCTTTGCAGAATCCATAGATGGTTTTCAGTGAAGTAATTTACCATGTAGATACTAATTTTGTTTAGTTTTATATTCCTTAATACCACTTTTCTACCTACTTAGTTTTAGCTTCTATGATTTCTTAGGTGTGTCAAGATCAAATGAGTGACCTTTAAGGGGCAAAGATAAATGTCTACTTTAAACTGTGTAGAAATAGAGTAGTTTTATTTCTCCTTAATAAGTATTCTTTAATTATTCTTCAAGTTAACATATATTTTTGTCCCAGTAAAATGAATGTTTTTAAAATGAGGGTTTTGATGTTTGAACTAATGCATTTAACTTTTAATAAGAAAATAAAATATTCACATTAGTAACCCATATGGAGAATTCTTTTGCAGTGGCAAGGTTTTAAATACATGGGGAGGAATGGTGGCATCTTTAGATGATACATGCAGAAGGAGATACATGTTGAGGGAAAGGAGGTGGATAGTAAGGGGTTTTTTTTTTCTCCCAGTATTTTTTGAATGTGTAGGAATTTATAAGCTCTTCAAATTTAACATCCCTGTGTTGTACAGAAACTACTTTCAGGTTCTGTGATCACAAAGAATAATTTCTAGAGCACAACATAGTGTGAAACATGTTTTTGTGTTCCTTTCCTTTGCCAATCAGAAAGGTATGAAATACCATTTTCACTCCATAGAGGCTTAAGTGACTGTATAAGGGCAGTGTAAGGGGCCAATTTCAGGCTTTAGGTGTGGGCACCACCTCAGCAGAGTTTAAAACTGATGCCTGGGATCAGAATTTGACTTGGAGTCAATTCTGACTGATGGGCTCTTCAGGGCCAGTGAGCCACCTTGTTCCTGAAGTTGCCTATTTATTTGGCCTCAGTTCCCAGCGAGTACCTCAGGCAGTCTGAAAGCACCTTGCAGGACTGACAGCCCTGTTTCAGAGCTGTAAAGAATAGGGCAAAGCAGCAGTTCCTCTGCAGAAGTGCCGTGTGCATAATGTGGCCTTTATTCTATGTTTAGTGCTTGAAATGAATTACTATATAGTTTAAAGTTTTAACACAGCGTGGAAAGGCTGCATTGTACATTTCAAGTTTCAATGCTGTTGAAATACAGTAGAAATGGCCTCTGTAGACAGGTTTCACTATAGAACTTAAATTATGCATGTGTATATCCAAATTCCTTATTTTGAAATATTGAATGTATGAATATTTAATTTGTATCTTGCTTTAGTATCTTCATATGCTTGCCTTAAAGGAAGCTGTTTCCTTTGATTTATATACATGGATAAAAATGTGTGTACAGTATGTATCAATAGTTTTTCTCTCTGTGGTGTTAGATGAACAGCTTTAGATAATGATAGCTACTGATTTTTATTCTGCAGCTTGCTACCATTGTATAAAACGTAAATTTGCCGTATTTGTTCTATTAATCTTACTTGAATTTCAAATTCATTTGCTTTCCAGAAATATTTTCTTAATTACATGCGTTAAGAAAAGTCAAGTATGTTGCAGATCTTAATGATGCAGTATTTTTGGTCTGTGCACAGTAACAAAGCTCTGAATATTATTATTTGGGGCAGAGTTCCAATCTGAAATTTACATTTCTCCTTATTTGAATGTTTTCACTGAAGCTGAGAACTCCAAGGGAGTTCCTCAACATATCCTAGTTTATGCGATATGCTCTCTGAAATTTAGTACCCTCTTATTTCCTTTTGTAAATGAGGTCTTATTGTTGAATAAGACCTATTACAAGGAGCTACAAAGGTAAGTACTGTCAGTGCATTCTGCCACCAGTTTCTTGAAGTATGAAACACCCCCTGAAAGACGTGCTACTACTGTTATGGGGTAATATAACGCAGCTTATGTGTTGGCACTGAGAGTAGCTACTTCATAATGATGACAAGTGAAAGTACAGCCAAAGGTCACATTAAACAAGAGATTTCTTTCACACCTCATCCGTTTTCTGGATGTAGTATGAAAATAGCTTTGTTCCCTATACTTAAGTATTTTTAACAAGGAAGTTATCTTGAAGTAATTTTTTATGCCGTTTATATTACTTTGTTCATGTTTTAAGAGATAGACTGGAATTCTAGCATGCTAAATTGATGCTACAAAAATGTTTGAAATTAGCTTAAATTTTGGGTGTAGTTATACAACACAAACTATGATGAGTATTTCATCTCACTACATTTTTTAGTTTGCAGATTTGCTTAAATACATAGCTTTTAGTTCTAGAAAAGGAGCTATTGTTGTGTGCTGTGGTTGAACCCAGCTGGCAACCAAGTACTTGGTAGCCCCTCACTAACTTCCCCTCTCTGCCATGATGGGATGAAGAGTAGAATTGGAAAATAATAAAACCCATGAGATATTGAAATAAAAAGTAAGAGAAAGTAAAATATAATAATAATAGCTATCAGAAGAGAGAAAACAGAGAGGAGGAATAAAAACCAAGAATTACAATTTAAAAAAAAATTGCTCACCACCTGCTGACTGTCCCCCAGTTTGTGTCTGTCCTTGAGCAGTGATTGCCTTCTTCTGGTCAACTCCCCCCAGTTTATACACTGGCCATGATGTTCTGTGTTATGGAATATCCCTTTGGTTACTTTGGATCAGCTGTTCTGACTGTGCTGCCTTCCAACTTCTTGTGCACTTCCACACTGGCAGAACATGAGACATTGAAAAGTCCTTTGACTTAGATTGAGTACTGTTTAACAACAACAAAACCATCAGTGTGTTACCAACATTGTTGTCATCCTACATCCTAAAAACAGCTCTGTACCATCTCCCAAGGAAGAAAATGAACTCTATTGCAACCAAAACCACTGTGCAGAGTGGTATTTATACTGATGTTGCATGACCATGGGTTTATTCTTTTTTATATCTTTTAAAAAGAAAGATACTTCTTTTTTTTCTGAATTGGAGTCTGTTCAGAAATAGGAAAAGAGTCAACCTGGCTATGTTGATAGTTTCTTAGCTCTACTTTGATGAGATCCTACCAATATTGTTAAAGAATCATTTCTGCTGAAATGGTGAACCAGGGTGCTAAAATAAGGCAACATTTTAGAAAAAAATGATTAGTAAGTATTAGATAATGAACATGAAGCTGACTTGTTTCACAGAGAGTGTTGAACAGTTAGGAGATACTGGTTGGGAAGCCTAAATCTGGTATATTATTGGTAGGTATATTTCTGTTCTAATCTAACTCCATAGAAATTGCAGAAGCCATATTAAGCTCTTCTTCAATTTGTTTCATACAGATAAAAGAATTTGCATCTCATGACTCACATATTTCCTGTTGTATCTTTAATACAGCCATTTTTAGTATTTTTCTTGCCTCTTTCCTCTATTGGTATGCTTAGAGAGTCTGTGTGTAGGAGCTTGTTATTTCACCCGTGAGGCAAGGAGGAGTTCAAATCAATAGCAGTGTGTTGTTGACACTAAATGATGTTTCTTCTTGCCACAATAAGACTTGATTTTGTCATCCTAATGATGCTAGCTTGCTTCACAGAATAGGGATCAGCACTCTCTCAAATCAAACTTTACAAGTTTAAAAAGAAGGAAATACTAGAAAAATAATCCACTATTTGTGACCAAACATATGCGTTGGCTTTGTAAAATGAATATTCAAGTTCTGTTTCATTTTACAGGGTAGCTGCTTTGCGAGGCATTTTGGAAGTCTGTATTCAGGGATATAGGATTGATAACAGCTGACTGATGAAAGTCTCATATTTTAAAAAGATGTTACAGATATTATTTAAAATACAAGTTCCCATGAAATATGGATCTTAGTAAGACCTTGGCTAAAAAAACCTAACAAAACAAGAAGCCTCAAGCTAGTAGAAATTCTTTGTGTTTCACAGAAAATCTTTGCAGCACTGCCTAGAAAGAGAATGTCTGCAAGAGGAAATAGGTGCAATCAGCAAGACATTACCAGGCCTAGTCCATGATTGCACTCTACAGCATGTCCAAAAGGAAAAAGCAGCTATTTCTGACTCAAACTAAGGATCACTCAGAGAGGTTGCAGCTATAGCAAGATGAGGATTTCAGAGAAATATTGTAACCATAGTAAGCAATATTATGATGGTAGGAATTTCCAGGCTTAATGTTGGTAGAAACCTTGGGTTATAAAAAGCGCAGGGTCTTTTGTGTGGGACATCTGAAAGCAATCACAGAGTTGGATCATTCTATTATATTATCAAAATATCTACCTACTTACAACAATATTTGTGCATTTATTTACATAGTTTTCACGGTAGGAAAGATGTTACCTTTTTATCTGAAAGAACTTTAAAAGGTATGTCTGCATGATTAAACATTCACATTGTAAATTGTTCTGTTTGCAATGTTATCATTGTTTTGTATTTTTATGCAAAACATGGCTTCTCAGATGTTCACAATGTAAACTGCAATCTAAT